GTGCCAAACTGTTCCTGGGATAGGTGAAGAACCCAGTGTTCAGGAGGTGAAGTAGCACGTAAACAGCATGTCAGCAATGAGATCAGTGAGGCCTAGACCTTCAGGGCACGAAGCAGTCATAATTTACCAGCCGCATTGCTTGCATATGTAATTGCAGTTTCTTAGTGTCTTCAGCTAAACTGGGATATGCACTGCACAGTATGGTGCCAGCTTGGGACACGGAAAACTGGAGACATGGAAGTGGAAAAGAAAGGAGAGACCACCAGCAGCCAATGCTCCCCAACCTGCTGCTTCCTTGGCCAACGCTGTCCCTCAGCGAAGCAAAAGGAAGGAGAAGGATGAGATCTACCCTTCAGAGCACTTCCACCCTGGATGTTGCTTTGCAACAAACTGAGAAAGAAGAGGGGAAACCAGCTGCTATGGTTCTAGAAGAGTAAGATGTTCCTGTTAATGGTAGAGAGGAGCTGCACCTTCCGTCCTAGTACACCTTACATATTGGGGAATGTGGTGCTTATTTAGTCAGGAAGGCTGGGCTGCTACAGTTTCTTAGTTTCTCTACAGCAAGGATGGCCAGCAATCTGCCTCTCAAGGCAGAACAGAGGGTGATAAGAGCAGAAAGTGAATCCCTTTGGTCAAGTGATCTCTCTGGCATTCTGAGAAACCAGGTGTGCTGCCTTTCCTCTGTGTTCAGCCTGAGAGCCTGCAAAACCAAGTTGGTTGAAGAAAGTACTCTGGGTGCTTCTGGATCTGGCAGGCATCTATAAATATCACTCAGCTGATGGAGGTTCTCATGGCATTATTTTTAACCTATTATCACCCTTGCTTTTACTATCTGTTATGCTGTTGTGCAGAAGGCATGGGTTCTTTCTCAGGCACTCACTGTCTGCTTCAGGGCCATTAGCACTCTTGGTACCATTATAAAGGCACTGAGCCTCAATTCAGACCTTATGATGAGCTGTGTATTCTTTCCACTCTGGGGACCTCTCAGGCATGGAAGTTCAGTATTCAGCCCCACACTTGAATTCCTGGAGTAATCACTGTTTTACTAGCTAGAATGGTTTTTCAGCAGGCTCTCTGTCTCCGCAAGCAGAGCAAAAAGTTTAATGGAACAATAGGTCTTAAGTTTATAAGTCTTACACTTTCATGTTTTTTTTTAATAGAAGAGCTTTGCACACTTATGTATCTCAGGCAATTATTTGCATTCTACTCTATTGGCTCAGCACCTATCTGTAAGTCACCAACCAGGGGTAACTGGATTTTGCCTTATAGGAAAATGTCTGATTTGATCTTAGAATTTCTACTCCTGACTTGCTAGCATTTAAAGACTGTTTTGTTGTTGTTGTTGTTGTTTTCATAAACAAGGTGAAATGGATCTTTTCTCTCCAAGCACTGCAGTACTGTTACAGTTCAAGGCCTCTTCTCTACTGATGTCTTTCAGCAGCAGCTTCACAGCCGTTACCTCAAAAGCAGAACTGCTCTTCTGTGAAGTCAGTGAGTAGTACGAACCATTTGGTGGGGAGCTGAGCTCCTAGAAAAAAAATATGCTTCAAATCTGCTGTTTGTATAACTTAAATTCTAGAGGGTTACAGGAAGGCTGCAGCAGAAGGCAGAAATCAGAAAGATAACACTGTTTACGACTCCAAAGCAAAATTCACCACTATAAAACATTTCCCTGCATTATTTATAGGGCAGGCTGGCAGTACTGCTTTGAAGTCACTCATGTTTTGGCTGTTCTTCTGTGAGTCTGCAGTGAAGTGGCAAACAGGATGATGAAGCAGAGGAAACGTGTGAGAGCCTAGGCAAAACGCCGTATAGAGAGGAGTTATGTGAATCAAAAGGGATAAACCTGGGATGTGCCTTGTGCACTTCACTGAGAGGTGCCTCTGAAGGTTTTTGTACAGTTAGTTAGCAAAAGCCTGTGGAGTTAACATGCTGTAGTCACTGCCTGACAGCTGTCAGAAGGCCTAAACAGGAGTCTTAGCTCTTAGCTTTGTGTAGGCTGCTGTTGTATTTGCAGAGTTTGGAGCTGAATTAGTAGACCAGTCCTGGACATTGCTGAGGCACACTGACCATAAATGGTAGATGATAGCTTCTCATTCTTCTCATTCAATGGGATAACCGAGTGAAGAGCAAGGAAAGGCCAATCTCAAAACAGCAGCTTGGCCAGGGTAATACAGTGCTGTGATGAACCAATACAGAGAGCTATGAGTGTGAAAGTAACTCCAATGTTGCCTTTCCTTTTGTTTGTTTATAAAAACTATCAAGCCTTTTCCTTTTGTTTTTCAGTCCAAGTGCTCCCTCCTGGTCCCTCCAAATGGGAAAACAGCAGAGCTAGAAGCGTACTTCCCTCTTTTAAGCAGTGAGGAATTTATGCCTGATCTTAAAGGTCAAGATATATCTCATCAATTCTTCACACAAGAAAGCAAATTTTTCCCCACCCATGCCATGATACCACAAGGTGTTTAATTCATGCCAGACTCCTTGCTCATCTGTACTTTCTGAGGTCATTACATTTGCATTCTGGCAGTTATGCAGGTGCTAGGAATGTTCTTTATAGTTCATTTGCTGAGAGGTGCACAGCCTTTGGCTCTCTTGCTAGAAGCATGTACCTGCCATGTACAGTCATTTAATTTGCCCCCCTGTTCTGATTTCTGCATTGAACTCTTGGTGCCACTGACAAGCAGCAATTACAGAGTTTTCTGCCAATTAGGTAGTGGTGATGGGCAGCAGTGGGCTCCCAAGCTGGCACTCAGATGCTCCTGCTGCTCAGAACACTGCTGGGCTGCCATAGGCGATCACTGAGCTGTTGGCAGTAGCATTTTTCTTCTGCTTGCTAAGGGCTTTTGGGTCAGCCTGCAGCCTCACAAAATCTATTCAAAGAAAAATTAGAGCTGAAGTCAAGTTCTTGCATAAGACTAACACAGAGAGAGATCAAAACTAACATTCTCTCTGTAGCAATTATTAGGAAACAAAAATGTTCTCTTTGCCTTCAAACCATCACAGCTCGCTGGTGAATACAAGCTGATGTTCCTCACTGAGGGCTCACAGATACAGCTTTGAGGGTCATCACAAGCCAACTCATCTTCCAGAGTTTGGGAATGCTTGTAATCCCTGGGTGCCCCAATTTCTAATCAACTGAACAAAACCCACATTATGTTTTTCTAAAGCTGCCCTGTTTTCACCTGAAAGCAATCTGGGCTCAAAGCTAAACTATCATAGGCAGCAGCAGGAAATGACACCTGATTTCAGCTGATAGCCAAGATGTTTCAATAGTAATACCAAAGCAGCTGAGATGCAAAACCCACTGCAGAACAGTTGCCCCCTGCCTAGAACAGCATTCAGCAAGGGACATTCAGGACTCAACATCAGCTTCTGCAATTAGCACTAGAGTCCTGCACAATCCTGCCCGCTCCAGAAGATAAATGGCACATATTTATAGTGCCTTCTCATGACTCATAGTTCTATAGAGTCACCCCCTCTCTTTAACTTCTTGTCTATGCTTCCTTTGCTTTTCTTCTTTTTTTTTTCCTTCCTGCTGACCAGCAGGCAGTTGTTCCTTTTTTCCACAGTTTACACTGCCGTGCAAACAGAAGGTGTTCTGAGCTGAATTTTCCTGTCGTACCCATCTAACAAGACCAGGAAGACCTCCCTGTGCAGCCATGAGGTTGTGCAGTGAAGAGCAGATGTTGCACAAGCCCTTGTGTTGTTCAGTTATTTCCTGCCCAAGGCCTCTCTCCTAGATATTAGTTGGATTTTGTGTTACACTAAAATATTCATTTACTCATGCTTGTTAAACTGCAGTGAATTCTGTAGCAAGACCTTCTTTTATCTACTGGTAACTTCTGTTGAGACTTCCCTGCAGGATTCCTGTGCTTTATGGGCACAAATGAGAGTTGGATTTACCAACAAACAGCTCCTCTCATGTAACTAGCCTTGTATGGCACTGTAGTGATGTTCATGACATGTTTTATGAATGCTTGCCTAAGGGTACTGGATATTATCGTGTACCAAAACCATTAACTTACTGTGCAATAAACCAAACATTCTCCCCAGTATCAGGGTATGGGGAGAACAAAAACGTTAGAGTAAAAAAATGTGAGTGTTAGAAATTTTCTGATGCACAGTCAAAATTGACAAGTGGATGTAAGAAAAAAGGTTTTTTATGGTAAATAGAACAGGTCTCCAAGAGGGATGCTGGATGCCCCGTCCCTGAAGACATCCAAGGTCAGGCTGCACCGGGCTCTGAGCACCCTGACCCGGCTGCAGCTGTCCCTTTTCGCTGCAGAGAAGTTGGTCCCTTCCAACTCAAACAACTGTATGATTCCACGAAAGACTGAGCTCAAAACTATGTCAACTGCCAGCTCCAAATGGAGCTATCTCCAAACTGCCAGCTCTTCAACCCGTCAGCATCACACCAGCCAAACCTGGCCGCTCTTCCAGACGCCTTGCCCACACTGAATAAAGCCACTCTGAAAAAGCAGAAAGCCAAGAAAGGGAGGCCAGAGAAAATAGAGCATTAGACTGTGAGTTGGGCACTGTGACAGAGATCTCTTCACAAGTGATCTCTGCATTTGTCTTAGGTATGTGCTTGAAGTGATGGAGTCTTCTAATGGGGAATGTGCCCATGGCTCAGCACTGACCAAACATCAGAGCATGATTAACCCGATCTGGGCTGAAAGCAGGATGAGGAGAGGGTGCAGGGCAGTCCTCAGTCAAGGATCGAGATTTCTCCTGTAGGGGCAGAGACAGGAGGAACCACTCTAATCCATTAACAAAAATATATATTTTTAATTAAAGTAATGGGCAACTTCTGCCCTGGAAGAAACACGATGTTTATGGAACTGTCATAACAAACAAACACTGACATGGAAAAAATGAGACCCCCGCTCCCAGCTGTGCCCGGTGCTCGCTTTGTGAGGAGATGGGCGGCAAAGGCTGGGCGGAGGGCGTGACCCTGAGATGACCCCGGCTCAGGTGGAAAGGGCGCGAAGGACGAGGCGGGAAACGAGAGCAGCTGCAAGCAAAAAAGGCGGGAAACGACGGCGGCGTTCTGCGCTCCTATTGGCTGACGGGCAGTCGGTGCACCTATATAAGGTGCGCGGGCGGCCACTGAGGGACAAACGTTCACCTGAGGCCATGACTGGAATTGAGGTGCTTGGAGGGAAAGGCAGCAAGCGGGACGTGGGCTGAGGTGAGGAGATGAGGCTGGCGCCGAGAAGAAACCAGCGGGCTCTGAGGAGATGGGGCGGGAGTCGAGCAGGATCTGGTGGAGGCGAGGGGCGGGCTGTGTGAGGGTGGTAGTGGTGGCAGTGAGTGAGAGGGGGCGGGCAGTGAGGAAGGGACGTCGAGTGTGGACCGGAGGGCTGAGGTGAGGGAACGGACGGGCGTCCAGTGGGAACCGTCTGGACACGGGCGGGCACGAGCTGTGAAGCGATGAGGCGGGAATGAAGCGGGCTGCGACGGGGCTGAGGTGAGGGGCTGGTGGGGGAGGGCGTCGCCTAGTGAAACGGCGCGGGTTGTGAGAGGTTGAGACGAGCTTCGAGCGGGGGCTAAGGGATGGGATGTGGGGGGATGTGGCACGCCTCGAGGGGCATCGGCCAACTGTGGGTCGGACGTGGTGTGAGGCTGTGAGGAGATGGGGCGGGAGTCGAGCGGGAACTGGTGGGGCTAAAGGGAGGGCTGGGGGGAGGAGGAGGGCGTGGAGCTGCGTCCGGCTGGCTGTGAGAGGACGGGGTGGCTGCGGGGAGCTTCGAGCGGGGCTGAGGGAATGGGGGCGGGCGGGGCGGGTGCTTTGCGCGCGCTGTGCGCGGCTCGGGGGAGCGCAGAGGGAAGCGGCGCCGCACCGCGGGGCGGAACAACGCAGCGCAGCCCCGATTTGAGGAGCGGGGTCGGTGGGGGAGGGGAGGTGGCAAACCACGTGCCGTGCCTGGGGGTGGCGAGCGGCAGTAGGGAAAAAATATCTCTTCCGGAGGATGATAGGTAGGGGTTACTTTTCTGTCTTAGGAAGAAGTGGAAGATGATAGTGAGAAGGAAAGGGCTGGATCAGTGGTGGAGAAAGTAGGGGAAGAAGCTCTTCAGAAAGGAAGGTAAAGTAGAACAAGGGCAGACACACCTGGCTGTATTGTGAAATACAAATTGATAAATAAAGGTGTCACGCTTGTATGTTGTTTTTTTTTTTTTTTTTAAAGTATTGCACATAATAACATCGTGCTATCATGCTGGGGATTAAAGACATCCCAGTTCTACGGATGTAATACATGGCCCAAAATGTTGGTAGCTGCAAATCTCATGTGGAAGTTAACACTAACTGCATGGGAAAAGACTTCAGAAGGAGATGAATTGGTGTGAACTGCTATGGGTTGCTTTGTTTAGCACTAGGGATTAGTGTGCAAGTTTGAGAAAGAAACAATGTATTAGTTAAGCAAAGCATTCATAAGTAACAGATACAGAAACTTTACAGGAGTGTTAAGAGGAGAACAGTCCAGTTTTTCCTCAATAACTTTGGACAGTGGACATAATGGAGTAGTTTGATGTTATGCCTCAAAAACAATGAGAAAGTATTCTGCAGTTTCAAATAAGTTTTTCTTTAAAAAAAAAAAAAATAGCAGGCAATGGCCTAATAAACAATGGAAATCTTCCGAACAAGGAAAGTAGAATGAAACGGAGAAAAAGCTGTCTGTGATGAATCTGATGGTTCTAATAGGGGGAAAAAAAAAGGGGGGGGGGGAGGGGCTAAGTAGGTGTGCGCACACACATTCTAAATATCACTGAACACGCACAGAGGGACATAAGCAGATATCTATGAGACTTTGAAAAGGGTTGAATGTATATGTCAGTGTGTAGCATACATTGGTCATAACTGTGTAAATGTAGAACCAGAACTCGGAGAGGTTGAGCTTCCTTGTCAACTAATCTGGTAGTCATACAGAAGAGTAAAGAAATACCACTTGTTAATACCATGTTAGCTTTACTTCTAGTCTGCTGGTGCTGATCTCTAATGAGAATAAATAAGATATATAATAATAATATTCCAATAAGAGGAATAAAGTGTTAAGAAGAGGCAAAGGAAAGGCATTTTTGGGCAAAAGCACCTGCCTTGGCTGGGTGGCTGTGTGGAGCTCCCTCGGGATGAGTTTCCTGCCGGTGGAGGAGTTGTTGCTGCTCAGGTCTGATGGTGACCTTTTTTGATTTCAGGAGCTGCTGCAGAAGAAAGAAGGAGCGGCGCTTGGAAGTGCGAGACGAGGGAGCAAGGAGAGGAAGCAGGAGACTGCGCGTGGGGAAAGGGAGAGGCGTTCTGGGCAAAAGCATTTCCCCATCCCTGGGGCATAGTCGTACTGCGATGGAGCGTGGCCGGCACCGTGGGTGACCTGGCCGGTTGTGTGCTGGGCGACCTCCCTGTAAGCAGGGCTCGGGTCTTTGCTGTAGTTGGCCTTTTGCCTTGTTGCTCCTTGGCTGCCTGGGGAGCGTGGCGCCCTGTAAGCAGGGTGAGAGCCGCCTCTCCGCACCCGAGTGGGAAACGGAGCTCGCTGGACCCCACGGCCTCCCTGTAAGCAGGGCAGTGCCGTTTTCCCCGCCCCTCTTCCTCTGGCCGCTCAGCGCTGTTGCCTGCTGGTGGCCTGTCAGCGTGGCGGCCCTGTACTCGGGGTGCGTGTCGCGTCACTTGGCCTTTGGCCTTACCTGGGAACTCAGCCCCTTGGCACGTTGAGGTCCGTGGCCTCCGTGCGGCCCGGGGACAAACACAGGCTCTTGTCTGTTGCTCGTGGGTGTGGGTTTATTCCCAGGGATTGGCTGCGCTGAGTTGTCCTTCCCTTCTGGAAAGCCACGTCTGTGTGTGTGCGTTCCCCTTCCTCTCCTGGTGTTTGTGGAGTGACTGAGCGATTGAGCTTTCCCTTTAGGTCTTCCTAAAAATGGCTGCAGCTTAGCCTGGACTTCCCAGGGGGGAATGGAGGACTTGGTGCATGCCGCAAGGAGGAGGGGGTGTTCCCTCTTAGTCCCACGAGGGCAGCGAGCGTTCTGTCTTGCCCCTTGTTTGTTTCTTCTTAGACCAGACCGGAGCCTCATGGTGGTTCCGTGGCCGGGGATTGCTCTGTAGCCAGGGCTTGGGCCCGTCCCTGTGTGGCCGCCTGTCTTGCTGGCGGCGTGACCGCCCTGTACTTGAGGCGTGTGTTGCAAGCTGTGCCGCCCCTCTTGTCCCCGGAGCAGCCCGCCCCGCCTGTAATCAGGTCTGGGGTGTCTGCCGTGCTGCAGCCGGCTGCTTTAGCCATCCAGTTGGTGGGAATGACCCCTCCCTGGCCTGATAGAGGGTGCAGGTTGAGGTGCTGCTTTGTGGTTGGGGTGGCCTCCCTGCTGTGCGGGTTGAGGTGGCTCCTGAAGATGCATTGTTGCGCCGCAGCTGGGCGGGCCGGCCCGTACCTCGGGCGTTGGCGGGAGCCTCGTGCTCCGTGGGGCTTTGTGGGAATGGTGAGGCGTGAGGTACCGTCCTGTAGGCAGGGCTGCGTGTGCCCCTTCTGTGGGTGCTTGGTGAGGTGTGTTCTGAGGGCCCCCCTGTACTCAGGCGGGTGTCTGTGGCCTGGGCCTTTTAGAGGTGCCGGCGGAGAGATTTGGGTCTGGGCTTGTGCCCTTGCTGGGATCCCAGCCTTTGGCTGTGCTGCCCCACTGCCTGGCTGCTGAGAGTCGTTCCTGCTGCTGGGGGGGAAACCGAGCTCTGTGGCCTGCAGGGTGTCACGGACCCGCCTGTAATCAGGGTCTGGGTTTGGGAGTCTTTGTGCTCCGCTGGCAGCCTGTGCGGGGTGACCGCCCCGTTAGCGGGGTGCGGGTTCACGATGCCCCAGACTGGGAGAGGAGGAGCCTCCCTTGGCCTGTACGACCTGGGCTGCCCTGTAAGTCGGGGTCCGGCAGCGCCCTGAGTTCTCAGGCCCTTTGTGATGGTAGCGGTGCCTGGAGCCCCCTGTAAGCAGGGGAGGTGACTCTTTGGCTGCTGCTTAGCGTGCCCAGCTCAATTTGCCCAGTCTGCCCGCCCCTGCACCCCGCGCAGCACCGGCTGGAACGCCGCGGTGCATCAGTATGGTGAGATAAGCTGCTCCGAGTTGTTTTTTTTGCTGGGGCGGATGGGGGGTGTGGGACGCCAAGTCTTCCTTGGCTGGGTGGCTGTGTGTGGAGCTCCCTCGGGACGTGGGGTCCCGGTTTCCTGCCGGTGGAGGAGTTGTTGCTGCTCAGGTCTGATGGTGACCTTTTTTGATTTCAGGAGCTGCTGCAGAAGAAAGAAGGAGCGGCGCTTGGAAGTGCGAGACGAGGGAGCAAGGAGAGGAAGCAGGAGACTGCGCGTGGGGAAAGGGAGAGGCGTTCTGGGCAAAAGCGTTTCCCCGTCCCTGGGGAGTAGTCGTACTGCGATGGAGCGTGGCCGGCACCGTGGGTGACCTGGCCGGCTGTGTGCTGGGTGACCTCCCTGTAAGCAGGGCTCGGGTCTTTGCTGTAGTTGGCCTTTTGCCTTGTTGCTCCTTGGCTGCCTGGGGAGCGTGGCGCCCTGTAAGCAGGGTGAGAGCCGCCTCTCCGCACCCGAGTGGGAAACGGAGCTCGCTGGACCCCACGGCCACCCTGTAAGCAGGGCAGTGCCGTTTTCCCCGCCCCTCTTCCTCTGGCCGCTCAGCGCTGTTGCCTGCTGGTGGCCTGTCAGCGTGGCGGCCCTGTACTCGGGGTGCGTGTCGTGTCACTTGGCCTTTGGCCTTACCTGGGAACTCAGCCCCTTGGCACGTTGAGGTCCGTGGCCTCCGTGCGGCCCGGGGACAAACACAGGCTCTTGTCTGTTGCTCGTGGGTGTGGGTTTATTCCCAGGGATTGGCTGCGCTGAGTTGTCCTTCCCTTCTGGAAAGCCACGTCTGTGTGTGTGCGTTCCCCTTCCTCTCCTGGTGTTTGTGGAGTGACTGAGCGATTGAGCTTTCCCTTTAGGTCTTCCTAAAAATGGCTGCAGCTTAGCCTGGACTTCCCAGGGGGGAATGGAGGACTTGGTGCATGCCGCAAGGAGGAGGGGGTGTTCCCTCTTAGTCCCACGAGGGCAGCGAGCGTTCTGTCTTGCCCCTTGTTTGTTTCTTCTTAGACCAGACCGGAGCCTCATGGTGGTTCCGTGGCCGGGGATTGCTCTGTAGCCAGGGCTTGGGCCCGTCCCTGCGTGGCTGCCTGTCTTGCTGGCGGCGTGACCGCCCTGTACTCGGGGTGTGTGTTGCAAGCTGTGCCGCCCCTCTTGTCCCCGGAGCAGCCCGCCCCGCCTGTAATCAGGTCTGGGGTGTCTGCCGTGCTGCAGCCGGCTGCTTTAGCCATCCAGTTGGTGGGAATGACCCCTCCCTGGCCTGATAGAGGGTGCAGGTTGAGGTGCTGCTTTGTGGTTGGGGTGGCCTCCCTGCTGTGCGGGTTGAGGTGGCTCCTGAAGATGCACTGTTGCGCCACAGCCGGGCGGGCCGGCCCGTACCTCGGGCGTTGGCGGGAGCCTCGTGCTCCGTGGGGCTTTGTGGGAATGGTGAGGTGTGGGGTACCGTCCTGTAGGCAGGGCTGCGTGTGCCCCTTCTGTGAGTGCTTGGTGAGGTGTGTTCTGAGGGCCCCCCTGTACTCAGGCGGGTGTCTGTGGCCTGGGCCTTTTAGAGGTGCCGGCGGAGAGATTTGGGTCTGGGCTTGTGCCCTTGCTGGGATCCCAGCCTTTGGCTGTGCTGCCCCACTGCCTGGCTGCTGAGAGTCGTTCCTGCTGCTGGGGGGGAAACCGAGCTCTGTGGCCTGCAGGGTGTCACGGACCCGCCTGTAATCAGGGTCTGGGTTTGGGAGTCTTTGTGCTCCGCTGGCAGCCCGTGCGGGGTGACCGCCCCGTTAGCGGGGTGCGGGTTCACGGTGCCCCAGACTGGGAGAGGAGGAGCCTCCCTTGGCCTGTACGACCTGGGCTGCCCTGTAAGTCGGGGTCCGGCAGCGCCCTGAGTTCTCAGGCCCTTTGTGATGGTAGCGGTGCCTGGAGCCCCCTGTAAGCAGGGGAGGTGACTCTTTGGCTGCTGCTTAGCATGCCCAGCTCAGTTTGCCCAGTCTGCCCACCCCTGCACCCCGCACAGCACCGGCTGGAACGCCGCGGTGCATCAGTGTGGTGAGATAAGCTGCTCCAAGTTGTTTTTTTGCTGGGGCGGATGGGGGGTGTGGGACGCCAAGTCTTCCTTGGCTGGGTGGCTGTGTGTGGAGCTCCCTCGGGACGTGGGGTCCCGGTTTCCTGCTGGTGGAGTTGTTGTTGCTGCTCAGGTCTGATGGTGACCTTTTTTGATTTCAGGAGCTGCTGCAGAAGAAAGAAGGAGCGGCGCTTGGAAGTGCGAGACGAGGGAGCAAGGAGAGGAAGCAGGAGACTGCGCGTGGGGAAAGGGAGAGGCGTTCTGGGCAAAAGCATTTCCCTGTCCCTGGGGCATAGTCGTACTGCGATGGAGCGTGGCCGGCACCGTGGGTGACCTGGCCGGTTGTGTGCTGGGTGACCTCCCTGTAAGCAGGGCTCGGGTCTTTGCTGTAGTTGGCCTTTTGCCTTGTTGCTCCTTGGCTGCCTGGGGAGCGTGGCGCCCTGTAAGCAGGGTGAGAGCCGCCTCTCCGCACCCGAGTGGGAAACGGAGCTCGCTGGACCCCACGGCCACCCTGTAAGCAGGGCAGTGCCGTTTTCCCCGCCCCTCTTCCTCTGGCCGCTCAGCGCTGTTGCCTGCTGGTGGCCTGTCAGCGTGGCGGCCCTGTACTCGGGGTGCGTGTCGCGTCACTTGGCCTTTGGCCTTACCTGGGAACTCAGCCCCTTGGCACGTTGAGGTCCGTGGCCTCCGTGCGGCCCGGGGACAAACACAGGCTCTTGTCTGTTGCTCGTGGGTGTGGGTTTATTCCCAGGGATTGGCTGCGCTGAGTTGTCCTTCCCTTCTGGAAAGCCACGTCTGTGTGTGTGCGTTCCCCTTCCTCTCCTGGTGTTTGTGGAGTGACTGAGCGATTGAGCTTTCCCTTTAGGTCTTCCTAAAAACGGCTGCAGCTTAGCCTGGACTTCCCAGGGGGGAATGGAGGACTTGGTGCATGCCGCAAGGAGGAGGGAGTGTTCCCTCTTAGTCCCACGAGGGCAGCGAGCGTTCTGTCTTGCCCCTTGTTTGTTTCTTCTTAGACCAGACCGGAGCCTCATGGTGGTTCCGTGGCCGAGATTGCTCTGTAGCCAGGGCTTGGGCCCGTCCCTGCGTGGCTGCCTGTCTTGCTGGCGGCGTGACCGCCCTGTACTCGGGGTGTGTGTTGCAAGCTGTGCCGCCCCTCTTGTCCCCGGAGCAGCCCGCCCCGCCTGTAATCAGGTCTGGGGTGTCTGCCGTGCTGCAGCCGGCTGCTTTAGCCATCCAGTTGGTGGGAATGACCCCTCCCTGGCCTGATAGAGGGTGCAGGTTGAGGTGCTGCTTTGTGGTTGGGGTGGCCTCCCTGCTGTGCGGGTTGAGGTGGCTCCTGAAGATGCACTGTTGCGCCACAGCCGGGCGGGCCGGCCCGTACCTCGGGCGTTGGCGGGAGCCTCGTGCTCCGTGGGGCTTTGTGGGAATGGTGAGGTGTGGGGTACCGTCCTGTAGGCAGGGCTGCGTGTGCCCCTTCTGTGAGTGCTTGGTGAGGTGTGTTCTGAGGGCCCCCCTGTACTCAGGCGGGTGTCTGTGGCCTGGGCCTTTTAGAGGTGCCGGCGGAGAGATTTGGGTCTGGGCTTGTGCCCTTGCTGGGATCCCAGCCTTTGGCTGTGCTGCCCCACTGCCTGGCTGCTGAGAGTCGTTCCTGCTGCTGGGGGGGAAACCGAGCTCTGTGGCCTGCAGGGTGTCACGGACCCGCCTGTAATCAGGGTCTGGGTTTGGGAGTCTTTGTGCTCCGCTGGCAGCCCGTGCGGGGTGACCGCCCCGTTAGCGGGGTGCGGGTTCACGGTGCCCCAGACTGGGAGAGGAGGAGCCTCCCTTGGCCTGTACGACCTGGGCTGCCCTGTAAGTCGGGGTCCGGCAGCGCCCTGAGTTCTCAGGCCCTTTGTGATGGTAGCGGTGCCTGGAGCCCCCTGTAAGCAGGGGAGGTGACTCTTTGGCTGCTGCTTAGCATGCCCAGCTCAGTTTGCCCAGTCTGCCCACCCCTGCACCCCGCACAGCACCGGCTGGAACGCCGCGGTGCATCAGTGTGGTGAGATAAGCTGCTCCAAGTTGTTTTTTTGCTGGGGCGGATGGGGGGTGTGGGACGCCAAGTCTTCCTTGGCTGGGTGGCTGTGTGTGGAGCTCCCTCGGGACGTGGGGTCCCGGTTTCCTGCTGGTGGAGGAGTTGTTGCTGCTCAGGTCTGATGGTGACCTTTTTTGATTTCAGGAGCTGCTGCAGAAGAAAGAAGGAGCGGCGCTTGGAAGTGCGAGACGAGGGAGCAAGGAGAGGAAGCAGGAGACTGCGCGTGGGGAAAGGGAGAGGCGTTCTGGGCAAAAGCATTTCCCTGTCCCTGGGGCATAGTCGTACTGCGATGGAGCGTGGCCGGCACCGTGGGTGACCTGGCCGGTTGTGTGCTGGGTGACCTCCCTGTAAGCAGGGCTCGGGTCTTTGCTGTAGTTGGCCTTTTGCCTTGTTGCTCCTTGGCTGCCTGGGGAGCGTGGCGCCCTGTAAGCAGGGTGAGAGCCGCCTCTCCGCACCCGAGTGGGAAACGGAGCTCGCTGGACCCCACGGCCACCCTGTAAGCAGGGCAGTGCCGTTTTCCCCGCCCCTCTTCCTCTGGCCGCTCAGCGCTGTTGCCTGCTGGTGGCCTGTCAGCGTGGCGGCCCTGTACTCGGGGTGCGTGTCGCGTCACTTGGCCTTTGGCCTTACCTGGGAACTCAGCCCCTTGGCACGTTGAGGTCCGTGGCCTCCGTGCGGCCCGGGGACAAACACAGGCTCTTGTCTGTTGCTCGTGGGTGTGGGTTTATTCCCAGGGATTGGCTGCGCTGAGTTGTCCTTCCCTTCTGGAAAGCCACGTCTGTGTGTGTGCGTTCCCCTTCCTCTCCTGGTGTTTGTGGAGTGACTGAGCGATTGAGCTTTCCCTTTAGGTCTTCCTAAAAATGGCTGCAGCTTAGCCTGGACTTCCCAGGGGGGAATGGAGGACTTGGTGCATGCCGCAAGGAGGAGGGAGTGTTCCCTCTTAGTCCCACGAGGGCAGCGAGCGTTCTGTCTTGCCCCTTGTTTGTTTCTTCTTAGACCAGACCGGAGCCTCATGGTGGTTCCGTGGCCGAGGATTGCTCTGTAGCCAGGGCTTGGGCCCGTCCCTGCGTGGCTGCCTGTGTTGCTGGCGGCGTGACCGCCCTGTACTCGGGGCGTGTGTTGCAAGCTGTGCCGCCCCTCTTGTCCCCGGAGCAGCCCGCCCCGCCTGTAATCAGGTCTGGGGTGTCTGCCGTGCTGCAGCCGGCTGCTTTAGCCATCCAGTTGGTGGGAATGACCCCTCCCTGGCCTGATAGAGGGTGCAGGTTGAGGTGCTGCTTTGTGGTTGGGGTGGCCTCCCTGCTGTGCGGGTTGAGGTGGCTCCTGAAGATGCATTGTTGCGCCGCAGCTGGGCGGGCCGGCCCGTACCTCGGGCGTTGGCGGGAGCCTCGTGCTCCGTGGGGCTTTGTGGGAATGGTGAGGTGTGGGGTACCGTCCTGTAGGCAGGGCTGCGTGTGCCCCTTCTGTGGGTGCTTGGTGAGGTGTGTTCTGAGGGCCCCCCCTGTACTCAGGCGGGTGTCTGTGGCCTGGGCCTTTTAGAGGTGCCGGCGGAGAGATTTGGGTCTGGGCTTGTGCCCTTGCTGGGATCCCAGCCTTTGGCTGTGCTGCCCCACTGCCTGGCTGCTGAGAGTCGTTCCTGCTGCTGGGGGGGAAACCGAGCTCTGTGGCCTGCAGGGTGTCACGGACCCGCCTGTAATCAGGGTCTGGGTTTGGGAGTCTTTGTGCTCCGCTGGCAGCCTGTGCGGGGTGACCGCCCCGTTAGCGGGGTGTGGGTTCACGATGCCCCAGACTGGGAGAGGAGGAGCCTCCCTTGGCCTGTACGACCTGGGCTGCCCTGTAAGTTGGGGTCCGGCAGCGCCCTGAGTTCTCAGGCCCTTTGTGATGGTAGCGGTGCCTGGAGCCCCCTGTAAGCAGGGGAGGTGACTCTTTGGCTGCTGCTTAGCGTGCCCAGCTCAATTTGCCCAGTCTGCCCGCCCCTGCTCCCCGCGCAGCACCGGCTGGAACGCCGCGGTGCATCAGTGTGGTGAGATAAGCTGCTCCGAGTTGTTTTTTTTGCTGGGGCGGATGGGGGGTGTGGGACGCCAAGTCTTCCTTGGCTGGGTGGCTGTGTGTGGAGCTCCCTCGGGACGTGGGGTCCCGGTTTCCTGCCGGTGGAGGAGTTGTTGCTGCTCAGGTCTGATGGTGACCTTTTTTGATTTCAGGTGCTGCTGCAGAAGAAGGAATAATGATGCCTGTAAATTCGTGACAAGAAGCATGAGAGGGCGACGGCAAATGACAGTCGTGTCACGTTAGTTGTAGCTGTGTTTTGGTTCGAGGTCTTAGCATTAAATAACAATAATAAGAAAACTTGGTAGCTCTGTACCTGCTTTTTTTTCCTTTTTTATTAAATATGTTTTCATTTTAATTGCTTGTCATTGTTTCTGGTTTTTTTTGTAGTTGTTGTTATGCTTTTCAAGTTTGTGGTTTTAGTCTTACTTTTTCTTCAGCTGGGAACTTGGGCTGTTCTCCCTGTCTTTTGAATGGGGCCTTTGGTTATCTGTATCTGCTATCTTTGCTTGCGGAATGACTTTTCTCAACTCTTCTTCCTTTGGATTTTTTCAGTTTTGTTTATTAAGTACTGGGTTTTTTCTCTGCTTTATTTGCTAAAGTGGGTGTGCTCATGGGTGATACAGGTTTCTGAGTCCTTGTGACTTGTATCTGTGTTATGTCTGCTGCTTTTTTTTTTCCCCTCTCATTCCTTTTTGGTTTTTTTGTTTTTCACCTTCTGAGGGGTTTAACTTCATCTGTTGCTTGTTTTCTGGTATTTTTTTTTTTTTTTTTTTATTTAATCTTGCCAATAACTTATTTTATTGAGATCTGGGTAGGGGGTAAGGAAAAAAAAAAAAATTAAGTTCAGCTTATGGTTTGAGACATCTGTTTTCTGATGTAGAGAAAAGAAAGCGGGAAACAAAAGGTTAAATAGTTAATATTCATACATGTATGAGAAGTGCTGTGCGTGCAATTGCTCATACAGGAGTGTGCCAGCCTGCCTACTGCACTGCTTTATTTTTATTTTTTTTTTTTTCCCCAGACTTTGTTTGATGTCATGCTGTTGAATAAATTTCTCTTTGTCCAGTTTAGGACTCTCCTTGCCTGTAGGAGAAGCTGTGACAACTAAAACTTCCTTGTCTCTATACCTTAGCTTCAACTAAAAATTTCAGTGTGTTATCCACTTACTTTAATTTTAGGAGTAAAGAAAAAAATGTGGCATCTTAATTTTTGCTCTGAAAAGCAGCTGTCTCCGCTGGAATTAGGGTATTCTACCTCTTTTTCCATACCACTGGTGTCTTGCTCATGCCCCTATCATTTTTTTTATACATTCTTAGTATTTAGCTTTACCTGTGATTCCCACAGTTTATTTTCCACTTATGTAAATTGTCCTTTAAATTCATTAATTTGTGATGTTGAGGTCAAGCTGTCCTCATTGTCTTTCAGTATTGGAAGAACGTTTCACAACACCGGGTTACTGCATAACATAGTTCTGGTTCCAGCTGAAGGTAGTGTTCTTTAACCTGGTGGTTGTTAATGTAACACATTTAACAAGGTATATAACAACTGTTGTGATTGTGGCCTACAGTATTGCTTAGCCACTGCCATCATGCAGTTCAAGTTACTGCCTGTTCTCACCCAGCATTGGATCTTGAGCTATGCTATGGCCTTCTCCATCATTTTGTGTCACCTAAATAATGCACCTTGGTCCCTGACCTTTGGCTCAGGTTTGCTTAGGTTGTTTCGGATATGAGTCCCGTAGTCTGACTCAAATCTTTCTGGGGTACTGCACTGGAGCAAGACTTGCTTTTCAATGCCCAGGATAGTATTTTGGGTGGTGGCTGTTGTCCTCCATACCAAAGAGACTTTATCCACTTGTTTTGTTGAACTAGATCAGGTATTTCACTTTTGTAGATTACCTGTGCATTAGTGTTCCACCACTCGACCCATCCAATCCTACTCCTCTATGCTAAACCGTAACAGCTACAGCTTGACCAGGGTGCAGGGAAGGCATTGGTAACTTAGCAGCACACACATGGTAAGAGAACAAATGCAGATACGTATTGCAATTTGTACTTACAGGTAGTTGGCAAAGGTTTTATAAACTGTTCTTAGAAATATTCAAGGATTTCATGTTTTAAACCAACGATGTCAGCACCCAGACCTTTGGTTCAAGCATTGATGTAAACCACACAGAAACAGGGAGGCTGTAACGTGTTCGTTTTGCACAGCCCCTATGCAATTTTAGTCTGGAAATTACCAGTGTGCCACAATACACAATTTCTGCTGAAGCACTGGGGTGTAATTTCTGATGTTATTGCAAATGTGAAAAACTGTATTTCTGACACCTATGTTGATTATGCCACAGGCATTGAACTTTAACAAGTGGTTTTGCTCTCTTGAGACATGGAGCCTTATTCTTCCCAGAACCCAACCCAACATAAAGCAGCTGCTTCCCTTCAGTGGAAGTTCTATGTATCCAGCTTAATATAGGTCCAGTAATGTAAGATGCTCTGGAATCTGGGAGGGACTAGCTGAATATCTGTAAGAATTCACTTTCCCTATTTGCTTTCCTTGAATTAAGCCCCGGTATTCACCTTCTAATACCCTCACTTCTCAGCATGCTGTAGGAGGTCAGCATTTTTTCCTCTGAGCATTAGAATATAAATCCCAAGTGTTAGTGCACAGTTCCCTACGCTAAGATAAGGTCCTTGACAAGGTTCCCACATTTCTTGTCAGACACAGCCTGTAATGATGGCCAATCATCGTACTTGGGCAGCGCCTCTTCACAGCTTGGGAAAATTTCATCCCTCCTCTGTTAATCTTGCACAGCAGCGTGCACTTGCCAGGGATCCCTGCCTTATACCAGCGCAGACATTAGAAAGCTCAGGTGGAAATGTCAAAGTTGTTTAAAATCCTATTTTGTCATGTATTCTGTGTTTTATCATCCTGCCACAGTAACATGCCTGAGGTTTCTCAGTGATTTTCTTCTCCATTTTTTTTCAATTGTAAATACATTCTGTAGACATTCCTAGACTGAAATTACATTACTGGGGCAATGTCTCTGTGCTACAAACCTCAGAGGAAAACATGGTCTGGTAGCGTGTCATGCTGAGCCACAGAAGGCTTTGCTTTTCCAAGGCAATGTGACAACTATTCAGTCAGTATTTGCTTCACTTCTGTCTGTTTACTTGAATATGTGTGAAGACTTCCCACAACATCCAAATCCACTGTCTTTTCTTCACATTGATGATCTAAAGTCTACAGAGCACGTATATGTCCTGTGGGGCTACACTACACTGTGGGACTACACTAAACGCCTTCCTTCTCCACAGATAGAGTAGAACATGCACAGACCAGGGTGGGTGCCACATCCCTGGAGGTGTGCAAGGTCACGCTGGGGAGGGCCCTAGGCAGCCTGATCTGGTGGGGGGCAGCGAGCCCACGGCCGAGGATGGGGATGTGAGGTCCCTTCCAACCTCTGGTTCTGTGATTCTGTGAAAAGGCTAGTCCTGCAGCTTTGCATCTTACTATGGCAGTGCCAAAGCTGGGAGGAGCACCCTTGGGATATTCTCCATCCTGTTTTGCAGGCAGGGCTGGAAAGATGGAGAGCTGCTGGTACATCATCCAGTCAAGGAAAGTGAAGGGAAAAGTGACTGCCCAACTTGAAGGACAGATGCTGCATTGATGGGTAGAGACTGACTGGAGGCACTGAGCCAGTTTTAACCTATATGTCTGTTGGAGACCAAGCAGTTTTACTGGTTATATATGTTACAATTTGGAACACTCTACAAATTCCCTGTGTACTGTATCAGAAAGATCCTAAGAGTTTAGACTACCATGAGGAAATGGTAAAATAGCAATGTGTAGAGACTAACTCTCTTTAGCACCCAAGTGGGGATGAGGTGTGCTGATTTTTCATTATTTTGCACGTTGTCAGCTAGAAACAAGAAGGCACAAATGTCCAAATGCTCACAGAGACCTGCAGCTTTACTGAAAAAGCCCACAGCCACTTCTCTGACAGTGATAACACAA